TTTTGCTATTTTTTGCATTAAACGGCTCTGGAAATTTTGACATGGGTGAGTTTCGCCTGCTGTGAAATTCAAGAACGTTAAAGTTTGTTTGCATACTGAGATCTCACATGAGCATCTTAAGTGATTTTCTGGAAAATCTTTCTAAGTATCATTTCGCTTTTGTGCGCTTTTGTCCGAGTAATCGGATGAAATACTTCAAAGTAAGTTAATTCTGAAAATTTGCTTGTTTTAGTGGAACAGATAAAAATGCAACTGACTATTACTCTGTCTTCGACGATATTCAAAAAGCATTAAAACGCATTGTAGTCTTAGGATCCGTAAATATTCTAGACAATTATCGATTAGCTATAGGAACTTCATCAGTACCATGGTCTATAACGTTCTCTTTATTATTTGAATTAATAGAGAAAAAAAGAGTGTTGTTTGTTTTAGTAATTTTTACCTTTAAGTATGACAGGATAAGGAAAAAACGGTTGACTATCGACCTCGTTACGCCTGGTTGAATGACTAAAGTTAAACAAAAACAAGATAAATAACAAACGCTAACGAGGAATACTATTTAGGTGAACCACTCCATTTTCAGTCGTTCATACGTCGATCGATAGAGGGTATCGAGCTAGTAAAAAGCCAAAACAAATAACTGGGGCCCATGACTCTTTAACACCTGGTTTTCTGAAAAACCAGTTTTTCAGAAACTTCATAAAGAAACGAAAACCTTCTCTTAATGATTTGTGATTGTAGTCCGCACATTTCTGATTAAAATGAGACATCTCCCAACTGTGCACGACCTTTCTTTGCAAAGTTATAGAATTGACAAGAAAAGCCCTAAATTAATTTCTTATTTCTATTGCTACAATCATAAATCATTAAGAAAAGATTTTGATTACTTTTCGGAGTTTCTGAAAAACTTTAAAGAGTCATGGATCCGAATCCTTTTAGGCTTTTTACTAGTTCGATACCCTCTATCGATCGACGTATTGAACGAATGTAAATGGAGTGCTTCACCTAAATGGTGTTTCTCGTAAGAGAACTACCTGTCTGTTTTGAATAGTGAATTTCACGTCTTCAAAGGTCCTTTTTGTATTTAATTGATAATCAGTTGATCTGATATATTTTTATTTCAACGTGGTACTTGACAAAAATATACAAACGATTGATCAGAAAATGTTGTAATATATCTAATAAAAGGAAAAAACCAATGTCACATTATACTGTAGTGTGACGAGAAGATCATGATTCATTCATCATAGAGCTCACAATATTTCGACAGTCACTGCAATCACTGTCGAAATATTGTGAAAATAAATCTTACTACTCCTTATTCTTCATTTTTAATCGCACTATATTGACTAGTCAACCACAAAAGACAAAATGAGTGAGAAAAATCCCATGTTTTGTTTTTTCCCACAATACTTTGATGAAAAACACATTGATATCAAACAAAGTAAAAACAAAACGAATGGGAATACTACCATTTTTTTCTTTTTGCCTGAAATAGACGTACTATCAGTAAGTGAATCAATAAAGTACCTTTTCATATACAGACATAAGAGGGAAAAAAAAAAGATGGCGTCGATGATAGAAAAGAGAAAAGAAAAAAAGAAAATGGCAAAACGTGCATATGAGGAGTGACTTTATTCATTGACTCACATCTATGTCAGATAGACTTAATACTTTGATAAAAATACATGGATTATCTATATATTTTACTTGTTTGTTTTTACTAAAAAACAAGTAAAAACAATATGCAGAGCAGTATCAAATAAAGGATATGTAAGATCTCTCTTTCCATCTCACATATGCTCCACATTTCTCTTTCGTTGCTGTTTTGACGAAAAAAAATAGAACGAAATATTCTTCATCCTCTTGCGTGTTTAGACTAAATCTGCAGGCAAGTTAAGGTATATAAAAGCGAATAAAAACATGTTTTCATATATTCATAGAATCGAAATGTGCTTTGAAGATATGTTTTTATTCGCTTTTATATACCTTAACTTGCCTCCAGTGTCATGCAATGGGCACACCAGTGTCATGCAATGGGCACAGCCCGATTTGATTACTGTTTCTTCTATAATAAAGTTTAAATCAACTTGCCTGCAGATTTTGTCTAAACACGCAAGAGGATGAAAAATATTTCGTTCTGTTTTTTTTCGTCAAAACAAAAAGAAAAGAGAAATGCGTGGCATATGCGAGGTGGAAAGAGAATCGAGATAAATCTTAAATATCCCTTATTTGATACGGCTCTTGTGAGAAATTAAAATTCATTTAATTATGACAACTTCTTCTACCCTACAGCGCCTTCATTTCGCAACCACATTGCTTCGAGTTTTCAAAATCTATTGAGTTTCGCCTACTGTGAAATTCAGGAATGTTAAAGTTTGTTTGCATAGTAAGGTCTCACATGAACATCTTAAGTGGTTTTTCAAAGTACCATTTCACTTTTGTGCGCTTTTGTTCGAGTAACCGGATGAAATACTTCAAAGTAAGTTAATTCTGAAAATTTGCTTGTTTTAGTGGAACAGATAAAAATGCAACTGACTATTACTCTACCTTCGACGATATTCAAAAAGCATTAGAACGCATTGTAGTCTGAGGATCCGTAAATATTCTAGACAATTATCGATTAGCTATGGCAACTGCATCATTAAGAATGTCATCTGAACATAAACAAAAATTGGATGAACGTGAAGAGTTAAAGAGTAATCTAGAAATCGAATTTGCAAAATTGGAAACACAACAGCTGGATATAAATCGAGAAAAGAATTTAGTTAAATTAAATTTAAATGACATTAATGATAACCGATTACGTATAGATAAAGAAATCAAAGAAAACCAGTCAAAAATAAAACAGTACGAAGATAATATGAAAGTCGAATGTACGTATATAACATATTGTTGAAAGGGTTATCGATATATCCACATTTTTGACGATGAAAAACAGGGAAGTCTTTTAGGAAGGTAGCATTCGTCTCTGTCACCAAGGAAAGTACGATTGTTCCTTCAAACTTTTAAAATCTCAAATCAGTAATAATTGAAAAGGGCGGAGGACGATAAGACCACAAATTGGTCCACTCCCAAATCTATCTTCTAGTAACTTATCTAATGCAGTTTTTGTTCCCAACGAACCCTATCATATTATTAGACCATCAAAATACTTTTCAGTGCCCCTGGAAACATTTCTGCACAAAACAATCTTCCGTTAAATGAAATTACCCAAAGCAATTTCATTATTTGCCTACAGCAAATATCAAGTAGTATACACCATTTGACACAGAATTTTACGAGCTACAAGATGCTATATCAGATAATCTTAAGAAATTGTGTCTCGGTAGTGCAAGATTGAAAATGCTGAGTAGCATCTCAGGAAACAGGCAGATTAAGGTCATTAATGTTAAAAATGCTCCTTTATTTTGTCGTTAACCAGTCCACTTCATATACCATTCGATAGAGAATTTCACGGACTGTAAAATGATATATCAGATAATCCTAAGGGAATGTAACTGGGTGGGCTAAGAATCGAAATGCTCGGTAGCTGGCATTATCCGGCA